GATGTGGCCCATGCTACATACTCCGGTACAGTAGGTGGCGCTATGCACCTAAAAGTTAAGGTTGCAATCTGCCATTAGACAAAAGAAGAAGGAAAAAAAAGTCTCAACAGCAGCAGCAGCAGCTTCTTAAGTTTGTTGCAAAAATGCAGCTATCCCCTCATAGAGTCAGTTCTTAGTTGCTAACCGCTCTGCCGCCATGTCGGTTTGTTTGAAGACATGTTTTGTGGGTAGTAGAGTCCTTCAGAGAGGCTGTCAGCCTGTAGCAGCAGTTCCTAACAGACGAGCTCTGCTGCCGTTCAGCTCAGCGGCTGCTGGTCGATGCTGCTCCACCGTTCAGGGGGAGGTGAGGGTCAGGTTTGCACCCAGCCCCACCGGTAGGTTATTACTCATTTATTAAAATGCAGTGAAGCAAGTTCACATGTGGACTACATGTGTCTATGAATGCTTTATGATGTAGTTCATGTGCTGTGTTTTATAATGAATGAAAACATTGTTTTTAACCACCTAATGATCTTTTTTACTCATTTTTTTAGGCTTTTTGCACCTTGGAGGTCTTAGAACTGCTCTTTACAATTACATCTTTGCAAAGAAATATGGGGGCACCTTCATCCTGCGACTGGAGGACACTGATCAGAGCAGGCTGGTCCCAGGAGCAGCAGAGTCCATAGAGGACATGTTGGAGTGGGCTGGTGAGAGGGAGGGACTCTGGGCCCATATCAGGGGTTTATTCATTCTCAGATCTTTATCTTTACAAGAAAGGGTGATTTTATAACCAATAAACACCTAAATGTAAGTTTAATTAAAGTAGGTATCTGTTAAAATGTTTTTTTTTTTTTATATAGATAAAATAAATAAGAGGACACCCTGCCCACCAGCAGGCGGTGTTAACATATTTGGCTGACATTAATCATGGTTAATCGATTATTTAAATAATCGCCAACTAATTTAGTAATTAGTCGTTAACTGGAGTATAGAGACTCTAAAACAGGCCTTTAGCTGACAGAGCAACACACCTTCAGAAGTTATATCAGAATTGTTTGAAAAATATGAACATTTTAATGCTGACAAATACACATTCGTCTGTCAATATCCTCTATCCAGAACTCCTCAAGGTGAAAAATTATAGTTTCACCTGGTTTGATTTCGCAAAAAGTCTTCTTTAAGGAACGTTTTACTTTCAGATAGTCAATTAATCGAAAAAATAATCGACAGATTAATTGATGTGCAATAAAGACGTTAGTTGCAGCCCCAGCTAAAATGACTTTGCTCCCAACAGCAAGCTACCAGCCTCTGATCAATTATTTTTTGTACTAATAATAAACAAGCACAGTTTTCTCTCTAGAAATCCATTGTTTTAATTACTTGGAAGAGTTACTTGTCCAGAGTCTGTTGTAATAGGACATTACTCTTACTGTTGCATGGATAAGTTCTCACTTCTACTTGTATGGATGGATCTGCGGGCTAGCTGAAACTCTTCTCCCTTTTTTTTGGTAAAAACCCCATTTAAAGTGAATTTCTGTCACCTAATAGGCCATAGTGAGGAAGTGAGTGTATCTGTTAAATGTAATAAGACCTAAACCTAGTGCCTCGGTGATTTGAAAATGGCATTTTGTAGAAATTAAATTATTTGCGAAAGCGATTAGCTGTACAACCTTACTATAAAACTTGTTTCCAGTCAAAATGTGTAAACACACAAATGCAACAGAATAACACTGCAAACAAAAAAAATGCTGCAGTGAGTGAAAGGGAAGCAAAAACCTACAATCACGAACCATTGCAAACAAAATAATATTGTAACCATAAACAAAAGGCTGTTATCACAGAAAGAAAAGGATACTATATTCTTTGTGGCAAGAGTTTTCTGCTGTTTCTGTTTGCATTGTTTTCTTTCAGCATTTTTCAGTTGATTTTCTTTTTTGTGTTTGCGTGTTTTGGAGTTTTTTCCACACATATGGTTTCAGCTCTTTTGTCATTTATAATTTAATCAGATCTCCTCCTACAGGCATTCCTCCAGATGAGAGCCCTCGCAGAGGAGGGCCTGTTGGTCCCTACATGCAATCTCAAAGATTAGAGCTCTACAATCAGGTAGCCCAGGAGCTTGTTGAGAGAGGCCACGGGTACTACTGTTTCTGCAGCACTCAGAGGCTGGAGCTGCTAAAAAGAGAGGCTCTAAGAGCTGGTCAGACACCAAGGTACCTAAAATGCTACTCTGCAAAGCCTGTTTGGATCCAGACAAAAGGAGTCATTTGAATCTGTGTTTCTGCAGGTATGACAACAGATGTCGTCACCTGAAAGCGGAGCAGGTCCAGGAGAAGCTGGCTCAGGGAGCCCCACATGTGATCAGGTTTCGACTGGAAGCCGGCGTCAAGCCTTTTCAGGATCTGATCTTTGGACTGAATCGTCACGATGTGGCTCAGGTTGGTCTGGAGTGGGTTCTTCATAAAAGGTGTAGGTTACACAAGTGGTTTTATTAAGCTGCGGGGCACAGCCCTCTGAAAACTGCCAGGGGGCCCGAGGGGATCCTCAGAAAACTGGATGGAAAATAAGAAATATAAAAATAAGAAAATAAGAAAGATAAGCAGAAAGAAATGTAAAAAAAATACAATTTAATTATTCTGTTCTTCAGTATCATGAACTCAAAATTTGCATCAAATCTGACATGTATTTATATCTATAAAAAAAAAAAAAACAGGCTATTTAAAACTTAACTGGGAGACTTTTCTCTATGTAAGAAAGAAAGTTAGACAGTGTACTAAAAATATATTCCTTTCCTTTTTTGCAACAACCAGGTATGTGAGTTTGAGGTGAGTATTGGCATGGGTGTTGCTATATGTGTCACGATAACTGGGTCACAATAGATATTATCATGAAATAGTAATATTTTTTACATATTGAATATATAAATAAGAAAGCAAATGCTGTATATGTTCATTAGAAGGTATTGATCATTGAGTTATTTTTGGTATCCATGTTGTTTGGGTTGAGTCAGTCTACGTCTTCCACTCTGACTGCCTCAGCTATAGATATGTTACTGTGCTGCACAACAAAAAGGCTCCAGAGTGCCATCTACCAGGGTGGCGGTTCAGAGGTAATCATTTTCCCTCATTATTTTAGGTTTAAAATTTTTTATTTTAATTAATATTAAGAACTGAGGATCGATATTATATCAGGCAGCCGAAGATTAAAATATATCGCCAAATAGATTTTTTTTCCCCACACTCCTAGTGTTTGTCTGCCTTTTCAACTTTAAAGGTGTTAAAATAAAACTGCCACTTTAACTATGGAAGCTTAAATTGGCAAAAGGAAATAAATATATGAAGAAAAAAAATGTGCCAATAAATATATAAATTCAAAGCCTTTATATGCCTTATTTAAAACATTTATCCATATAATACTTCAAACAAGTAATACAATAATATATTGTATTATCAAAGGTATTGGAAATTATGACATTAAATGTAAATTTTATTATGTCGCTCTGTATTTTTTATTTTTTTTTTATTGTTTTCAGGGCAATTACTGCCCCGTCCATTTTATTTGAACTCTCAACTTCGTCCATCAAACCCTGTGGGTGGGATTAGGGTAGCTTCTATCGAGACCCTGATGTCTGATTGGCTGTTTCCACACTGAGCAAGACCACGTCATAGTTTGCTGTGATTCTGAACTCAGTGTTTTGCTGGATAATAAATTGTGTTGATTTTTTATTTTTTTTTAACCACAAACGTGATCAAAATCCAGCCGCTATATGCTCAATCTGGTCTAAAATATCTCTAATAAATTCCACAAAGAGCATCAGGCAGTGAAGGGCTGATGTTGATCCTGTAATACATGTAATAACTAAAAAGGTGTAAAAAAGAAATAAAATGAAATAATCTTTCTAAAAGTTTTCTATTTCTTTACATGTTAATTGTTTGTTTGCAATTGAGACCTCAGAAAGAGGGTAATTGTGTTACAGAGGCCCTGGGATAGAGATTAAATGAACACCCCCCCACCTGCTGTGTTGCTATAGGATTAAATAAACTCTGAGTTTGTTTTCTCTTGCATTTAGGTGGAGGGCGATCCAGTTGTGATGAAAGCAGATGGTTTTCCCACCTACCATCTCGCCAACATCGTAGACGATCACTACATGAACATCAGCCACGTTCTGCGAGGGTCCGAGTGGCTCATCTCTACCTCCAAGCATCTCCTTATGTACCAGGCGCTCGGATGGAAGCCGCCCACCTTCGGACATCTGCCGCTTCTGTTGAATAAAGACGGCAGTAAGCTGTCTAAGAGACAGGGGGACATCTTTATTGAAAGCTTTTTGAGGGAAGGGGTCCTTCCTGAGGCTCTGCTAGATATAACAACCAACTGTGGTTCTGGATTTACCAGTAAGTGATAAAGGTAACCAACTTAGAGCAACTTTTCCGTAATGATCAACTTTATTTAGGAACGCTTATATGTCTGTTTCTAGCTAATCGAGTAGGAAGAGGGTTAGAAGAACTCATTTCAGAGTTTAATCCTTCAAAGATCACAACTCACTCCGCTTTGTTAGACCTGGAGAAGCTACCAGAGTTCAACAGGTGAGTGAAATAGCTTTAAATGACTGTATGCAATCATTTCAGCCATATTTTAAACCAAGATGACATGTTTAAAGCTTTTTAAATTCAGGAAACGAATTCATCTTTGAAGTTTCAAGGATCTGTTTGTCTTTTTGACCTTTGGCAGAATCCATCTGCAGCAGCGAATAGACGATGAGCAGAAGTGTCATATGCTTATAAAAGATCTGCAGCAACAAATCCAGCAGCTTTACGCAGCAGATATCCAGGACCAAGAAGTGCTTGAAGAAGATTATATCAGACGGGTGTTACGTCTCCGTAAGGTGATTATAAAAAGATGTTAAACTTTGAGTGCCATCCATCTCGTCTTTTAATATCCTAAACGTTAGATGCAGCCGATTTATTTGTTTATGGTCTAACTGTATAGTTTAAAACGTGTTAAAGACAACTGCAGACAGCATGCAGATGATTTATATGTTATTGAAACTTATTTATTTATTTAGCCAGCCCTTTTCCAGTTTTCAACTCCAGACAGCTTACATTTTTGTACTGGGAGGGAAAAAAAGCATTCCCATATCATGATGCCTCCACCACCATGTATTGTTGGTGTTTGTATGATATGGCCATTTTGATTTTCTGCCACTTATAGTGTTTTAAAGGAAATGCTATTTGTATTAGGATCTCATTTGATCAGAGCCACTATAAGCTGTATCCATGTTTTCCGATGGCTTTCATACAGCAAAGGCTTTTTTCTTGCCATTTTTCCAAAATGGGGAAGATTGATAAATTTCCTTACTCTTCCTGACCACAAACTCATCGGGCGCTAACAACCAAACTGTGGTTCTAACCCTAAGGATGTTGTTTTATATTCTTATTCTGTTTTAGACATTGATAACTTTATTGCTGACCTATCTGATGTGTTCTTGGCCTTTATATGGTGTTTGTTCAATAATTTTCTTTACCAGACAGCTGTTGGTGAAGATTCTCAGTCATCTGGGTAATACTCATTCCAGTAAAGTTAAAAACAAACCACTGGACTTTGTTTTCCTAGTTTGAAGACAATTGCTCCCCATCAGGGAAGCTTTTTCAATTCAAAATGTCAGAATAAGAGTTCCAAGCTTTATAGAGTACCCCAACAAAGCCTTGTTATGGCTTAGAAAATGTGCAAATTGAACCAGAAGAAAAGGTCCACCCCTTAGTAACTGGGAATCGTTGAGGTCTTTGTTAGCATTCAATACCTGATACTGGCTCATGCCTCTGAAAAAGGAGTTGTTAGGGACATTGTTGGCGAGATGTTTTGGTTCCCTCAATGGCGTTGAGGTTTCAGATGATAGCGGGAAGGAATCAACTCTATCGCTGCGTTGTAGGTTTTTTAAAAGCTAGATCCTGAGTCCACCCCCTCTGTTTAAGATTGTTTTTCTCTCTTAACGTAAATGGCTTCCTTCACACCTCTTTCAAACCACATGTCTTCTTTGTCCAAAACGTGAACATTCTGGTCCTCAAACGAATGTTTTTTAACTTTGTTGGAATACGAGACTGGATCTGGGAGCTTCGCAGATTAGTTTTGTATTTAGGTTGAATTATGCACATGCTTTTGATTGGGTGGCTATTAATGGTGGTTTGCTATACTGGACTTTGCTTTTGGGTATTAGAATAAAAAGGGTGTGGATACAAAGATACATCACACTTTGTATTGATAACGTTCCTAAAAACAAGTCGTTTTTCCTTTTTTTGTGTAGATCCATCACCAAATCCGTATGGAATACAAGTTAATTTTAAATCGTTCTTTATTAATAATTTTTTTTAAACATTGCATATTTTATGTAATACCTTTAGTAATATTCACTTTATTGTGTTCCGTTTTCATCAGGGTCACATAGCCTCCCTGAAGGAGCTGATGGGTCCAACCTACTCCTATCTATGGGTCCGTCCTTCCTTCTCCATCCAGCAGGTGGCAGCGCTAACCACTGAGGCTCCTCTTATTGCTTCCTTTGTGTTGAGGTTTGAAAGAGCAGCTTTCTAGCTTGCACATTTTTCTTTACTGCACATCGGCATCTTTTTTTTTTTTTATATCAAGATTGTGAACATTTGTGTCTGTGTATTTAGGTTGGTTGAAGAGCAGGGTGAGGAGCTGTCAGTGGACCGAGTCAGTAAAGACTTGAAGGGTTTGACTAAACTGACCAAAGCTACCAAGTACAGAGAGGTGATGAAGCTGTTACGTCTGGTTCTCAGCGGCTTGCAGGTACTAATATACCATACTTATGAGTTCTAACAAGTGTGTTTTGTTTTCCAGATGTTTAGTGATTCAAGTAATTATATTAGATCAGCACAGTGGAGAGCAACTCTGTCTCATGAGTCATAGGGCTCACGGTTTGTGTGAATAAGTTATTAGTCTTCAGTTTTTGTCGCCTCATGAGTAAACTGAACCTTAGCCTGCAGCTTTGGTGGTCTTGATGACGCATTACAAGTTTCCATGTAATTCATAAGTCCTTGTATTTGTGGAAAATGTTCAAAGTGATCGAACGTTTTGTCACTTCAGGTTGGATGCATGTCGATTTTTTTTTTTTTTCAAGTCTACATCCATCGGTTAAAGTTTGACGAAAATCAGACCTTTAGAGCCTGTTTATAACGCATCTCAGTCTACCTCTTTATTCATAATAATATACAAATCTGTGATATTTGTAATATTTAAAAAAACTGTTACAACTCATACCATTGGAAAAAAAATCACCCAAAGTCATTTACATCCATCAGTAAGAAAAGGGTTACAAAAATGTTCTTGAATGGGTTAAAAAGATCTGTTAATACTTTCAAAGGATTTAGTCTTATTCAAAGACAACATTGAATAATGTTTTTTTTATAGTGGATCATCTATAAACCACCAAGCTTTTATAGATTTCTAAAAATTAGTTTTTTTGGGTTTATCTTTGAAACCATCATTGCATCATCAGAGTTGTTGCTGCCAGAACAAACTTTCATTATTACAGTCAGATTTAAAGCTGCTACAAGATTATAATCTGACTTTAAAGGTCTTACCAGGCACATCTGATCATTGCTATTTAGGCTTCTGTATGTTTCTGGAACAAGAACCATCTTTTTAAGACTTAACAATTAAGAGTTAAACTAATAATTTATCATTTTATTAATCTTTTTCTATTGGAAAATGAGCAGGACCTGGTGAATATTTAGATGCAATCAAGGAGTTTCTGGGTTTTTTTTAAACTCAGAGGTTTCATTTCTCCTATTATTCTCATTAAAATGCAGATTTCAAACTCTGATCAGCACTTAAGTGAGCTGACTGTTTAAAACTTATATTGTTCCCTCTGTCATGTTGTCCACATCATGACTAGGCAGAATTAATTTTTGTTTAATAAAGACAGAAAAGCTTATCGATAGCTGCAGCGACTCTGTAAACCTGCAAATTTTTAAGAGAAGAGGTACTGAACGGGGAAGTTGCTTCAGATTGAGTTTCACATACACCATCAGTCTGTTTTTTTTTGTGAAACCTAACCGACCTCCATGTGTTGCCCTCTGTGTTGCAGCAAGGTCCAAGTGTTGCTGAAATGATGGTATCTCTGGGTCCTGCAGAGATCAGACATCGATTCCAGAAGCTTCTGCTTGCTTTAGAGACGTGTTAAAGATGGCTACCCAATAACCTTTTACTCAACTGAATAAATAACTGTTCTGTATATTGAGAAATGCATCTCTTAAACAAACATGGTTATTCTATCAAGCCTGAAATAGTCTCAGCTGGAGAAATTGTGTGCTTTTTAAAGTTGTCATGTATTTATAAAAAAAAATAAAGAAAACGTCTTTTTTTCTTTTTATTCTTTTGAAAAAACATGTGTCTTAACTCATGCACACCTGGATGGGAAGTACCTTGGTGTTTTTATGCAAATTTAATTCTTTAGAAAAATAGCAGGTTATCTTCAGCTGACATATTTGACATTAAAGAAAGAGTTATAGTTTCGGTATGGCACTTCGGTTTTCATTTAAGGGCACAGTCTTTATTTTGAAGAGAAATAAGTGCACCATCACATTACGATAAACTTCTAAAAGGGTAAATTACAAGGGAAGAAAAGCTCCTGTTGTAATCCTTCTATTGAAATGGGTGTGGAGGAGAGTACAATTTTTGTAGCATCTGCAAGGAGGATTTTTTTTTTTTACATTTATAAAAAGGGCTTAAATTTAAGGCTATTTTTTATATATATTTTTTTCTAGTTTGCAGTCTTTGTCAAAGCAACAAAAAATAACTTCTGCTAGTAATTGTAGATCAGTATCAAACATAAAAGGCTAATTACTAGATGCTTTGGAATTGTGTTTTTATATATGGTAAAATAATGAAAGAATTGTATTACTGTTAACAAAGAATTATTTAACAATCTGTAAATAACTTGATATGTAAATATTAGATCAGTGCCAAAGATTTATGGATGCATTTTAAAGCAGTTCCTCAAACCTATGGATGTGAGTTTTACATGGACATGTAGAAAGAATATAGCAAACAGGAAAAGAATTGTGTATCTCTGGAGTGAAATCTAAAGATTATGTGTTTGAGACAGCAAAAGGTAAGTGTGAAACAGCACAGGAATGTCCATCCATTATACCTTTCAGGAAGGATGTGGTGTCTGAGGGGTAAAATAAGTGCTTTGGTGTTAAATGCACATTGTCAATTCCAAAATAGCAAAATAATGGAGAAATGCTGTCCAATGTGGTAAAAGAATGAAACAAGTCTTGTGTCAGCTTTGGGTGAAAGGATAGTCCTAAAGGAACAAGCTTTCTTCAGAAGGTACAACTGGAAATTAGTAAAATCTCTGAGGTTAATGTCTCCTGGATGCTGTCCCAGTTTAAATAAAATGAAAAGCAGCAGTAAAAGGCTGCAGATGCACACAGGAACAAAGGTCCTAATTTTGGAGAGAAGGTCCATTGCTAAGTGAATGTCAAATTTTAATATTTGTTCATAGAGACCCAACTTCAAGAAAAAGAGGAAACCTTGCAAGTCTTGGACCAAGAAAAGCAAGAAGTTATATTAACTTACAGATCAAGTGGCAATGTTACTGTAATGTAAGAAAATATATTTACTCTCCATCTGATATTCAACAATTGTAAGTAATTTTAATTCATACTGACCCAAAAGGAAGATTTTATCACGAGAAGCTATTTTTTTGGTAGCCTAGACACTGCTATTTTTATAATGAATGATGATCCATATATTTAAATCATATCTATGATTTAAATCATATCAAGACATTATATCATAACCTAAATCCTATTCAAAAATGTCCACAGCTTTATACCTGACCTTTATGTTGTGTTACCTGGTCTTCATGAAGATATTTGTTCTCTTAATCATCACTTCTGAGGCTTTCAGAGAGGAGCTGGATTTACACTGAGATAATTTTGCATTAAATGGGATTCCATTTACCATTGTGACTTTGAAAAGCTGCACTGGACGCATTCAGCTTTGTAATTGTTAAACACTTGCAAGAATTCTGTATTTTCCTTTACCCTCACGATTTTCCACTACCTTGTGTTTGTATATCACATAAAATCATCATAAAAATTAAAGTCTGTGACATTTCCCACTACTACTACTACTAATAAAATAGCATTGTGAATAAATTTTTCTTTTTTGTATTTAACCTTTTTTTGGGCAAGTTAGTGTTTTGGATTTCTTGCATCCCCCTTACAAATGGATTCCCCTCATCCCTCCATGAGGTCTAGAAGCAAAAGATCTATATCCAGCCATTAAGCAAAGATCCTGCTACATGGCTGTACATCTTATTTTGGCATTTGATCAATTAGATGAGCCCTTGATATATTACCTACTGTAAATTAATTTTTAGAAAAGTTAAAAACCTAATTGAAAAGTTAAAAAGTAAAGTTAAAAAGTTGTTAAGCCTCCTTAACAATTATATTTAGGTTTATAACCCAAAAAATGCAGGTGCCAGTATCAGCAATAATGCTTCTAAGGTTATGTTGTACCAAAAAAAAAAAAAAGTGTGTTTTTTAAAGAATTTCTTATAGAAGCACTTTTGTTATTTTTCTTAATATATTCCGGCTAGTTGACATTTCTTGTTATTACATTGACATTAATTTTTGACATCAAAATATCCTTGTTTTTATTTTACAAAGGTAATAAGATTTTGTTCTTCCAATAACACTATTGGCTTTATTTTTGATTGTTAAAGTATTTCACTGAGTATCCTATAAAGGGTAAATTGAAATACATAGTGAATAAAAAACATATATTTGTAACTAAACTGAAATTTGAGACATATGTTATTTTTTTGAATGTCCAAATTAAAGTTTTATCTAAGATTAGATGGACATGTTACCAGAGTCGTAGCCAGAACATTTTATAAGGTTGGCCAGGCAATAACCAATGTACACTGAGGGGTGGTGGAAAGCAGATAGGCGCCAGAACCTCAGCGTCAATCTACTCTGTTCTAACAGGAAAATTAATGAGCATGTCCATATTTTCTAAATAAAGACAAAGTATACTTTCTTACAGCCTTTTGCCTTTTACATCTGTGCTTTTTAGATAAAAGGTATAGTGGATGAAATTCTTTCGGGTCTGAGTTCTAGGGCAAACATCTTTTCCATTGTCATTAAAAAAATAATATTTACAAGTACTAATATCTACATAAATTGATTATTTAATAAGTTTTTATTAAAATAATTATTTATCTAGGATTTGACTGAAGACTCCTAAATGACTTGCAAAGACACATCATTTTCTCTTTACCCCATATAAAACAAAATCTAGTTCTGAAAAGTGGATCAATTCCATATGTATCATCTTTAATGTTAGTATATTGATGTGCATAATTAACCACAGTGCTTTTGTTGTCAAGTAATTGTTAATATATGAAAAATGTAAATGTTTTGAACATTCCATTTGAGAGTATTACTGCTGCCACCACCTGTCTTAGAAGGTGAAAAAAAAAATGTTAGGGGTGGCCAATGATTGGCTAAGGGGGCCATGGCCACCCCTGGCCCCCCAACTAGCTCCGCCCCTGGAAGATGTTACCCGTCAATAGAGGAAGGGGGAGGTTAAATGTATGACTTTATTGGAGCGTCAGGAGTGTGACTGACTGTGCGTGAGTGTCACATGTCACTATAAACAAGCGGCTGTTTGACACCTCCGCTTCAACCCTCAGAGAGACGCTCCCAGGACAGCAGCTCTGTCTGCGGACTTTAGGCAGCGATGGCGAGCGGTGACAGTCCGGACACTTTTCAATCATGGCTCAGTGAGTAAAGAAAAAACTACTAGAGTTAAGCTTTTCTTTTTTTCCTGCATATCGTTTGCAGATGAGACAGATCGCTAACTTCCCACCAGCGGTCGTTATTTAATGCCATATTAACCGTTACTGCGTTCTTGTATTATCTCCCCAGCAGTAGATTTTATTCATTTATCAATGCCTGTACGTGTTCAGTTATCTTCGCTCCAGTTTATTTGCTCTGACAAATAAGAGTTTCATCACAAACTTTTAGCTTTTGACAGGAAGTTGCTGAGTTCTCCAGCCGCGCGCGCCCGAGAGGCGCTCGAGCGGTTTCTGTCTGCGCCCGAATGTGCGCGCGCTTTGCGGTTTCTGACGAAAAATGTCAGCTTAATATGTGGTCACAACAAATCCAGTTGAACATTTTTTAATAGTTCCCTGAACTTCTGCGAAGTCTGGTTTATAAACACAGCCTCCAAAGCAAACAAAGTCTATTTACCGTAACTAAATACACTCAGTGAAGTTATTTGAGATATTCCTGAATGCCTTCTTTCAGTGTCCTGCTAAATACAAGGTGTAAATGTGTTTGTGCCCGCAAACTTCAATGATTTTATGGCACCATTTTAGCTTATACAATTCAATTTTACTTCTTTAATCTATAAAAAAAAGAATATAATCTAAACACACTTTACTAGATAAATAGTTGATTGCATTCAGTCCCTAATGTTGCAGCAATCCATCATACTAAGCAAGCATGTGGTAAAAAGCAGAGAGGAGAAACTTTTTTTAATAGGGAGAAACCCCCTCTAGAGGAGATAGATATCTTCCATCATGTAAACATTTTGGTTAGTCTGCAAAAATAAAAATAAAAATGCAACACCATTTGTAAATAAGATCCTTTAAATGCATTTAGCATTGCGACTGAACTGAGGAGTGGTTCTGGGTCTGGTGCCAAACAATAGAGGGAACCTTTAGGTGAATTATTGGTTACACTTTACCTGTTCAATTAACCTAATAAACACACAACAAAAAGAGGTCCAGGGCATATTACCTTAATGATATTAATAATATTACCCCTGGATATCCTGTGGATAACTCAGGTACAGACAGGTTTCATACCGTAATTCCCTGTATTTCAGGTCCAGTGGTTTTAAAAGTACCCACATTTGTTACTTAAGTAGAAGTATAGATACTGCAGTTTAAAAACATTCTGAATTAACAACTTGACCTCTTTACTCAAGTAAAAGTGAAAAAGTATGAGCTCCAAAAACTACTCAAAGTATAAAAGTTTAAAGTAACCTTTAAAAGAAAACAGGCAGATGCCACTATATGAATTGAAATCTCAAATTTTCAACTGTTTTGAAAATTTCTTTGCGATAGGGCCAAGGATGAGGGAGGTCTTGTTTTGTCTCCGTCTCCCGATACGCTCTGGCCTGTGTCCGACCTTTCAGACATTTCAACATCTTTTTCTGAATCCGACATTGTAGCATGGCATAGACAATTCACGTTAGCAGTTTGAAGAACACCTGCTTGCTTCTGATGATTTCCTTTAGCTAACCAATGAGTGTTTGCGTTATACGACTCATCCAATTCCACTAGTTTTCACTAGATGTGGATGGCGCCAATGATCTGCATTGGATGGCGCACATGACGTGAAATAAATATTTATAAGCATTAAACTGAAGCCAAGAGTAACGAGTAACGTTTGTTTTAAAAATGTAAAGAATAGAAAGTACAGATACTTGTGTCAAAAAATGTAATGAGTAGAAGTCAGAAGTAGGAAGAAAAATAAGTAATGGAAAAAAGTATAGATACCTAAAAAGTACAGTGACGAAGTATTTGTACTTTGTTACTTGACACCTCTGGTCAGGTCATAGTTTCCATGGATAACATGATGTCTGCTCTTAAAGTCCCATTACAGATCTAATTTAGTCTAATATTTTACCATTCTATATCTGTTTGAGTATAAAGTTGTTTATTTTGCTTTGTTCTGATCAGCTGCACTCTTTAGTTGTAGCTAGAAAGTTTTGATTTAGGAGTAATTCGATGTTCAGCTGCAGGTTTTCTGCTGATGATCTCTGCTGTGGTGGTTTCCTCTGTACCCCTCTGAAGGTTTTCATTTTTCCTGCTAACTGCTTGGTACTTGGTACGGCATACCAAGAAAAACTATCCTTCATGTTATTTATCCAAGCTTTGGATGTTAATAATCATATATTATTTATAATCTTTGTTTTTTATTATTGTTTATACTGATGACTTTAAGAGACTCTTCATATTTCACTAATCTGTTCCATCAACAGTGTGCAGCAACATAAACACTAACAGGAAATTTATGGTTGATGTGTGTTGATAATTTGTCAAAAACAACATTCCCTTTTTGTTGCTGCTCTAGAAGTCTACAAGTAAAACTTCCTGAGAATTTGTGCGTACTTTAACTTCCTCTAACAACGTTATTTTCTAATTGTTTGATTTTAGAAATCTTGACCTCCTTTGTTAGTTACTGAAAGCTACCTTCAGTTAAGACTTTTTTTCTTCTAGTGAGATTTGTTAAACATATAATAAACACAGAAAATTAATTAACATTACTCATTTAATTACATTACAAAAAGTAGACACTACAAAGAAAAGTCACTCTAGAGAGTCAATAAAGTCAGACACAGAAACAATAATAATAATATATGTTGTGGTTGCTGCAAATCCCTTGTGGTTGTGGTTGCTCACCATCCCTTTTTTCACAAATAAAGAATGTGGTAACAAACTGAATACATCCTAAATAAATCCATGTTGCTCTGTTTGTATTTGTATTGAACTCCCTTTTTTATCTTACTATATCAGACAAGGCTACAGATCCAAACAACCAGGAAGACAGATGGGATTGCATTGAGGGTTTCTACAAGCATGTCATCCAAGAGACTGATGGGTAAGCCTGCCACGGTTTCCTCCGCCTCACATTTTTTAAAACTTGTGCTTGTGAGGGTTTCCTCCCTGATGGTATCTTCTTCACTGTGTGGGCAGACCTGTTGCTTCTTTCAGTTGAGGAACCTGTTGCTTCACAGGTTTCATGTTGCACCAATCTTAGCTGGTGCAACTAACAGAGAAGGAACTTTTCTGATTATGCAAATTCAGAGGCCTAACTTGTCTTATTGGAATTTAAGTCCACTTCTCTTTGCACATTTAGCTAATTATTAGCAGAGTGTTGCTACATGCCCCAATAACCCTTTTTTAATGTTTTTCGTAATGTTTTTTTCTTTTTTCTTTTCAGGCCACAGATAGCTCTTCGTCTTATTGCCCATAAGATTCAGTCCCCGCAGGAGAAGGAGGCTCTGCAGGCCCTCACTGTTAGTAACCCAACACTTAAACTTTAAAATGTTCATACATATGGAAGATATTAAAGTCATCTTTTAATTTTAGAAACATTAATCTTCTGATTGGAAGTAATATTAATGTTTTGAGGGATTAGGCTGATTCTAAGACTTCGGGCAGGCGATCAATGGTAACAAATGCTGATGTTTTTTAGTTTTACGCCAATAAATGTTCAATTAGTAATCAGAAAGGCTTTAAATGCTTTTTGACATTATAATGTTGGAAACTGTGTTTTTTAGGGGGGTAGTTGCTTGTGTCATTTCCTATCAGTTAAAAAAACTTTTCTTTAGTTAAATATATAAAGATAATATCCATCTAAATTTGTCAAGTTTATGAACTGTGTTGAGCCTAATTGTATTTTACTGCATTTTGGAAGTTGGCAGATTCAATTCAAGTGAGACATCAATTAGTAGAAAATTATTACAACTAGAGTTTTAATGATCCAACTCATTGATTTAGAATGCACAAGTAATAGTTATCTCTGCTGTTAAAAAGAAATTACTTATTGATTACTACAGTCATAACACTTTTATTAGGTAGAGCTTTCAGGCATCAGCCTGCCAAAGGAACAACACGCAGGACAAATAATCCCAAACATAAACATTTAAGCATCAGGCCAATTAAACAGGACATTTTCAATTAATTTTCTACTTTGAAAATGAACTAAAATACATCGAAAGAACCGACGCATGCAAGGGAGAGCATTTCAATCGAAATACTGTTGATTGTTAAACTAGCCTGTAGATGTTTTGCTAGAATTTGATGCCAAAAAAAACACATTTGGTTGTTGGTAATTGCTATTTTTGAAATTCTTTTCCCTTTTCTTTAAATGTGATATTTAATTTTTTTAAATAAAGTGGTGTAGTTTTGTTTAGCTAGTGAGGGAACCCTAAAGTATTTGCTTTAATGCTCTTACTGGTTTTATAGTGATACTTTCACATTTTTTTCCCCTTCACCTAAAGAACAGACATCTATGCTTTAGCTGTAGGGGAGCGGGGTGGTCTTGTGAGTAATATGTGTAACTAAAATTGAACCACATGATTATTAGGGATCAATCTTTTGCTTTTAAGTTCACCGTGAATTCCTGATGCAGGGCTTCAATCCCAAAGTTGCCATGAAATGTTGCATTTCATGGGTCATGTGCTTCATGTCTCCTGACATGTAAGGGGGTGGTTAACCACAAGTTAGATTTTGCTCTCAACTGTTCTTTTTTCTTTCATTTTCACTTGTTTCTGTCTTTTTTTGGGTGTTTTCCAGGTTCTTGAGGCATGTATGAACAACTGTGGGAAGAGGTTCCACAGCGAGGCTGCAAAGTTTCGCTTTCTAAATGAGCTTATTAAAGTCTTAACACCCAAGGTACCGCTTACATAGGCCTTGACTCTGATTATTAAGATATCAGTCTAGTTAAATCCTAATTTACTTGACAAAAATAGAAAACAGAAGAGCGCAGCTTCAAAAACATTTCTTCTGTTTACCTTCAAGCTGGAAGACTCTATCTGCACACAGGTGGATTCTATTTACTAATTCGGTGACATCGAAACTGATTAGTTTGACTGGGTTTTATTTAGGGGGATAATAGTAGAGGGGGTTTAATACAAATAACTGTCACACTATTCAGTGTTTTACTTGTAAAACACTTTTGAAACTCATGCAGAAATTGTCTCCTAGAATGAAATCATGCTGTACTTTCTGTTGGCCTGTCACATGAAACCACAATAACATTTTGTGGTTCTAACGAGACAAATGTAGGAAAAAGCTCAAAGGTTATTAATACTTAGATACTCTAAATAGACATTAATTTGCTGTTATGTTAAGATGAGCTCTTTCCGCAATAAGTGCGGTTAATTTATTATAGGCATGGATGAACAAAGATAATAAAAATTAAAGAACAGAAGTATTTGATGGAAAGAGGCTGACAAAATGTGTTAACGATCCATGGTGTGCTCATAGCTGCTTTAAACATTTCTGTCCTCACTTAGAAAATTAATAATGAAATAAAATGCTTAATTTAAACTATTTTTACCAGATGAATACTGTATAGAAAGATAAATGATAAACTGTTTACACACAAGATCCATGCGACTGCAAGCATTTTTATTTACGGTAGGTGTCAAATAAAACCCACATTGACTATTCATGTACTAAAGTTGTCCATAAATATCTGGAGTGATGAATACAAATTGGATTGCAGAAAGATGACAGAATGGATCATTGTTTTGTTTTGTTTGTTTTGGACAGTATTTTGGTGCGTGGACTCCACAAAAAGTTAAAGACAGAGTGACGGAGGTCCTCTACGGCTGGACTCTCTGGCTTAAAGAAGAACCAAAGATTCAGGAAGCCTACAACATGCTGAAAAAACAAGGTGAGGAGGAAAAAAATATATTTAGATGTGTAGATAGTGGCTGTTATTGAGTAAATAATTTCTCACTGATATATTGTTCTCTTAGATTGATACTGTTTTTTTCTTTCTTGTAGGTATTGTACAGGCAGATCCCAAACTTCCAGACACTCTCATCATGCCTCCTCCTCCACAAAGAACAACAGAGTCTGTTTTTGATCAGGAGGATAAAGCTAAAGTGAGTAATAGTGGCTGCACATTGATTTCAATTTCAATTTTTTGGTACTTAATGTCTGTTCATATTCAGCTCTTAGCAAGATTGTTAAACAGTGGCCGCCCAGAAGACTTGGAAACTGCCAACAGGCTCATAAAAAGCACCATCAAGGAGGTGAGGAATGAGGTGCTGGTTAGCGTCAGATGCAGGCCTGAACTGAATGAACTGATCGGCATCAATGTGCGTTCTGTAGGAGCAGGAAAAGGCAGAGAAAGCGGCAAGGCGGGAGGAAACTCTCAAGGAGGTCGAAAGCAACACAAAGCAGCTCAGAGAACTGCTGGAGCAGCACACTGTTACTGGAGTGTCATTACAGCCCAGCGATGATGTTAAGGTATGCTCCACATCACACAGGGAAATTCGTCTCTCTACAACAGAAAACACATATTTACTCTGCATAACTCAGATTTTCGGATCTGTAACTTTAAAACCACAAATGCTATAAAACAGCTTGAGAGTAATGTTGCATTATTCTGATTACAGACTTTTGTTTCCTAATTTACCTTTTTGGGGTGTACAGGTGTGGTTGGCAGCAGTTTTTTCCCCCTTCTTTCCTTTTACTTTTCTGGAAATGTGTGCTACATTTTTAAAATACTAATAGAACACCAACAGGAAGACGTTTTAGGTGTTCACAAAAAAACATTGAAATAATAGCAATAATCTGTTTTTTTCCTATATTGAACTGTTTGTCTTCTAGGTATATAGCATGATTTTTCGCTAAGATTGAAAAAGGTTAATAAGGAATATATGGGTAAATGTTTACGTGTTATCTTGAAAATACAAACCCTAATTTTAGACCGTTTCTAATTTTAGAATGCTTTTAATGTTTTATACACTAATTTGCTAAGTTGATATGTAACTTGTAAAGTGGTTGTTTTGATTAATCTTACTGCAGACCACATTCAGTTTGTGCATTTTGTTTATTTAAAAATGATACTTCAGTCTTCAAGACATTAAAAGTAATTATTTTAATGCAATTTATCTTAATCTTTAAATATTTTTGAAAGGTTGATAACATTAAAATTAGAGCAGCTTAGGGTTAAAAATTGGTCCATTGTAGACCAACTGTTTGGATGTTGTTAGTAAATGAAAGAAATATGGATTTACTTATCAGTAGATTTTCCAGACCTTTGATCTTAATCAGATTAAGGTCTTTTAATCTGAGACATTAGAACTTCTGCTCCAAAGTCCAGCTGTTCAGGACTCATGTTCAGATTGTTTCCAATAAAGATGTAGTGAGAGCACAACATATCAGAGAAATCTCATGACCTCACTTGGGATTTGTCAGACTTCCAGCATCCCATGATTTTTGGGAATGTTTTGGCTTTCTCATAAATATTCAAATTAAGGTCTGGTGACTGCAGATGTGAACTCTGACTGTGAGTACGATTTTTTTTCAGGGGTTTCTACTCTTTGTAGAAAAGTAGTCTAAATTATTTAAATATTTTCCAGTTATAAGGATTAAAGGGATACAAAATAATTGTATCGTTACTAACGCCGTTACCTTGTTTTAGTAACAAGTAATCTAACTAATTACTTTG